CAACCTCTTTATGATTATTCTTTCCTTCTACTTCAAAAAATGAAAACCATTATTCTTCGCAAGCTTTTTTTAGTTGGCATTCCATTTTATAATCATAACTGCACTCTCTACATAAAACAAACTTATGGTATTGTGAAACCATTTGAAACTTTTGTACATTTCTATTTGAGCAATGTTGAAAATAAAATTTTTGCAGATATATACTGATATTTTTATAGTTGGCATAAAGAAAATCAAACCTTAAAACAACACTGTTCAAACTTGCATAAGAAATTCGATGTTAAAAATAGAATTCTCTTCAATGTATTTGTTTACTAGAATAATAAAATTTCACATATAACTTGTCAATTACATTAAAGAATGTCCTAACAGGTATAAGTTATTATTCCTAAAAACTCTCATTAATACATTCTCATCTATAATGAAATAACAGATTTTCTGTAAATAATGGTTTTTACTAGGTCTCTTGTTGATAAAATATATAAAAAAAAATGAAAAAAGCAACCAATAATTAATTGAAGGTCCTCCTTACTTGGAAGAGTGACACAACGTAATCTTCCCAATGCTAAGCTAAAAAAATGTCACAATTGATAATGATTTCACAGTAATGCAGTAATGTTAAAAAATTTAAATTTAATTGCAGTATCATAAGCCCTTAATGCAATATAAGTGCTTGATCTTGAAAATGACCAGTAAGAAATCCTTATAGTAAATTTCAGAATTTGCTACATTTGCACACAACATAGATATATGAATGATTACAAATGTTTTTGTTTATTTTTTATCTGAATTTGTATAATATATATAAGTTTGTGGAATTAAACAGAACAACACAATTGGCTTCAATTCATACTTATTGAAGAAAAACATTAAAAGGGTTGTGAGGAGTTGATGGTATTAGTTACATTATATATATATATTTTTAGATATTTTGTTGATTAAAAGAGATCTTCTCAAATTACTATAACACATACATATAAACAAGTTGTATTATTTTTTTTATTATAGATACCATGCTAAATTTAAATCATTTGCCTGATAACATTATTCAGTTAAGAGATGTCATTGAAAATATGATGGCAGTAATTTAGGAATGAGGATAATAGTCAGTGTCTACTCTACATGAAAAGCAAAATTCAAATGTTGATTTCAAGGCAAACAGATCTCTGTGTCAGATAATATAACTTTAGTAGATTTTATATAAAAGTCACTGTCACTAATTTTTGTCTATTTGTTGCTTGTCTGTCACACTAAAGCAAACAGATCTATGAAACGGAGTGATCCCTGTCCTGATGGGACATATCAATATGCTAATATACTGCTATTGAAATATTCAAATAAAATTAGCTTTGAAGTACTGTCTTGGGACTTTTTATTTTTTTTTTTTTTTTTTTTTTTTTTTTAATGTTTGTAATTATTTCAGTGAGCCAATTATTTCTAGCATATTTTTCTTTTCTCCTAAAAAAAAGTTTGCTGTGTTAAACACATTCAAAGGCTAAATTTAGAAATTTCTTTGAATTTCTTACATTTTAACAGCTATAGGTTTAAAGCTTAAAATTTATCACCACTTTGATAAAATTTTTCAAATAATTTCATCATTATTATTGGGATATTAATTTCATGAAAGAAAAATAGAATGCCTTTTTTTATTTTATTTTTTATTTTTTTTGGGGGGGCAGGTGAATATTGCACTAACTGTTTTTTGAGTAACAATGATTTTCCAGATACAAGTCCTACTTTTTAACTCATAGCTGGGAAATAGGAGATGGATTCATACCTTTCCAAAAGATATTTACATATAAGTGAATGTAATGAACCTGACTGGGATTCAAATGTGGTTTTCTTGTTTCTCATTCTGAGCCACTATTAATTACACCAGCCATATTTCCATGCAGAATATTAGCTAAATTCATTAAAGCAATCACCCATCTTTACGAGAAACATAGGTTGAACAATGAAATATATGAACTGATTTCTCAAAAGCAATTTCTAGTGATGAATGTGGAGCAACATTGGATGAACCTGAGAGTTGGTTCATTCATGGAAACAGTTAACCAAGACAACAATTAGGAAATGGAGTAATGTTTTGGATTAGTATTATAGGTTTCTTCAAAGTTGATGATTATTGTGTCAAGATAAATGCAGAGAATTATATGCTCTTGGAAGGACATAGGTGATCATGGCTCTCCACCTCGTATCCCTCGCAGCCCTCAACAAGTTCCTTCCCTCTGCTTCCTCCCCCCCAGACCACGTTCTGTCATCCATCTGCTCAAGTTCACCAGCTATGTCACATGCTGTCTCTCTTTCCCTCTGTGAGTATCAGATTCTCCAGGCCCTCCTTCCTCATTACGTGTCCCAGAGACTTCAGCTGCCTCTTCCTGATCTTAAGTATAAGCCTCCTCCTTGTTTGCAACCTGAAAGTTATAGGATATCGATAATCCTATATTAACATTATGTATTCAGGTATATGGGATATTGTATTAATGAAGTATGTTTCTGTGGCCAATATCGTTTGGATTTATTCATAAATTAACATTTATGTGTCACTTTTTTTTAACAATAAAAGCTGATGTCCCCAAATAAAGTTATTTTAAAAATAAGAATAGATATTATAATCAGAAAATCACAATATATTTTGCTCATATAAATATATCCTGAAAATGTTATCAGTTGGTTAATACAAATTTTGTTGTAAAAACATTGACTTGCATAACAAATCTATCAGTCTACTTATTGTTTTCATAATTTTTTGTATTATTGTAAGTTTTGTTTACTTACTTTTTTCAAACTAATCAATATTATAAAAAATATAATGAGTCTTAACTTGTTTTAATTTGAGCAAATTTTTTATTATATTTTTTTAGTCTTTTTCCACTTCAGTCTCACAAAAAACAAATGTCATCTTGAAATCAAAAAGTACATTCATGCAAGACAATGCAACAGGAAACAAAAATGTATTTGCTTGAAGATTGTTTATTAGTGTTGAAATAGTTAATTCTTACAAAAATATTACTACATAATTCATAAATGTGTTTGTTTCCAAAGTAAATAAAGAAAAGTTTTTAGTTCAATATTTGCTATTATAAAAAAAAGTTTGAGTTGATATATTTTTTAAAATGTAAAATTAAAAACTTTATTCTTTATTGATATTCTATTATTCCACAACAACAAAAAAAAATGTAATGGGTTAATGGTATGACAATTTCGTAATATTTTTTAGAATTTTGTAAGCAATAATTATAACAAATAAGAAAATGTGGTAAGATAGTGAAAAATTAAATTTTAATCTTATCAATAAAAGATTCATAAAATAAATAAACAGCATAATTATTGGAACTTATAAAACTTCCAGTGTATCTCCTAACAATTTAAGAACAGAACATAAAATAATTTATGCAAAAACAGGCAAAAAATAGCATCCTATTATTTATAGATTAACATCTTTTACCAAGATTATTTTTAATTAGCTTTTGTCTATTTTGCCTTGCTATTTTTTTTTTTATTTTGCCTGATTATTACTCCTATCTATGATATGTAATTCAGTGTTGACTTTTATAAGCATATTTAAAGTTTGTGAGTATTCGTTCAACTTTATCTAGAGAATTGTAAACATTAGATTAAGAAATTCTAATTCTGAAGACTTTGTTAGTTACAGGGAATACATAAGGTTGATGCAAACATTTCTCAAATATTTTTGACAAAATATTTGATTAAAACAATGTATAGCATCAACCAGTCATGGACATTTTTTCACTTGTATTGCTTTTTAAAAAGTTTGTGTATTCCATCAAAATTTTTTTTTTTTTTTTTTTTAAATAAATTCTTTAAAGAATATTTTAATAACTGAAACTTGTTGGAATTACTGACTAGACAAAGCAAATCAAGTGTTCAGCTGAAGGTGATAGGTCTAAAAAATATGCTGCATTTTGAAAGAACCTTTTACATTGATTTTATTTTCTGAATTACATTTGTAACATGTGGATTGTCAGTGTCATGCAACAAAATCACTGGTTAATTTTATTGCTCCAAAACAGTTTTTTTTTTCTGTTTGAATGAATTGGTCAAACAAGCAATTGCTACTCCCTGTAGTGTTGCACAATAACAGTTTGTCTAGGTTCTAACAGAATCCTACTAAATACAAAAGAAGAGAAAATATTTATAAAATACAAAAGCTCAATATTCTACGTTAGCATCATTTGTTTCAAACTTATTTCAGCCGCTTCCTTTTTTTTATTCTTCAGATGCATGTTGCATAATCAAGGATAATAAAGGAGCATATTATTTTTTCTCTTTCTCAACAAGATCAGTTTAGGAGAGTGCAATTACCAACTATTTTCTTACTAGAACTTTCAAGTAACAATGGGAAACATTCTAAATATTCTGGATGAAATATAGATGTGAAGAAGCTAAAGAGCAACTGAAATGTTGAAAACAATAATGAAGTTAATCCAAGGAGTTACTGTTATTATGGTCTTATCTATTGTCTAGTTTTAGAAAACAAGAGTCTTAAGTCCCCAATCTTAGTTACATGATACTAAAGTTTAAAGACAATCCTAAAAAAAGTTTTTCTTGCAGCCTGATAAAGTTTGCAAGATTTTCAAAGTTGTTACATTTTTTTAATTAAAAATGTTATGAAATTCTATGGAAATTCTCAGTTGATAGTGTGATCCTAATCAGTCCTGTTGAAACTAGGTAAATATTCCTTTTAATAAAATGAAGAATTGAAACAATCTTCATTGTCGCTTATGTTTCAATATATCAAAATTCATTTAATTTCTACGTGGATCGACTTGTCTTGGATAATATTAACTAAAATTTGCCTTTCCTGCATGAAATATGTAATAGTGAAACTTATTTTTATTCTTACATCTCATATAATTTATGATTTAGCTTTCAATGTGTTAACTGAGAATTTACTGATTACTCTTTCCCAAATATAACTTAAAAATTGTAATTCAGGTAATCCTGCAGACTTGTAAAATATTCAGCCATAATCTATTTTATGTATCCTGTATAGGAATACTGCATGCATTTTCTTTGTGATGTCCCCGGAATGTTCTGTTATACATTTCACGCCTCAGTTGTTTATTTCTATCAGAGTGGCGTTTACTGTCTACTCTTTGGAACGGTCGATCCACTTCGGCCTGGACACCGTTTTCCCATTTCTTCTTTAGGGCATCCAACCTCCGTTCAAAGATCTGCTGCAAAGGAGGCACATGACTAGTCTCTTGCCAGAAGCGTGAACCTTGTTGCGGACGTTCGGCAAACAAGTTTAGTTTGTCCAATTTATCTGACACATTCGTTTCGTCATAGTCTTCAAATTCTTCGTACTCACCGTCAGACGGCGGTTGTTGATAGTCAGGTGCCGGCTCCATCGTCTGCAAACGTTGGGCTTCCTGCACTGCAAAACGGGCAATGTCCTCCTCTGAGTATTTCTGTTTGAACCAGTCTATTCTTGTACTGGACATGAGATGTAAGAATGTACCCCAGCGATGCAGGAACATGCTAAAAAACTGTAGTCCCAGTGCAATGGCAAAGACAGACAAAAACATAAGAGACAAAGGCTCGTATTTTTTTATGATATAGAACGCCTTTAGTTCGTCTTCCATGGCCTGTAGTTGAAGTGTGACAATCGTCCAGAGGAAATTGATCATGAAGTAAATGAAGACTATGTTGTTCTTCAGTGAGATCAAGTCTTCTTTTATTTTTTGCTTGTGGCTTTTGTCTTCATCAAGCGGGTGAAGGTAACGTTTGATAATGTAATTCCAGAACTCCAATTCTTTATCGCAAAGTTGCTCCACCTTTCCTGATCCTAATGGTTCCAGTTTCAGCCAATATGGGCGGGCAGGGTTCGGTTCATATCCTGGTTCTTTTTGTTTCACATGAACCTGGCGAGGTTTCTCTGTTTTGACTGGTTGTGTTGGTTTTACTTGCTCTTGTATCGTCTCTTGGTTCGTTTGTGTTTCCTGTGGCTCTTGTGTTTTCCCCATAAAGTTTGTAATTAGCATGTGTATCTCGTGGATAAGTGACGTCAAACCCAAAATATTCCATATACTCTTTTTCTGTTTCTTCTTTCGTTTCTGTTCCTCTTCTACTTGTCTTTGTTCTTCTTCTTCAGGCGACAACTTTCGTGGCACTTCCCGTGTCCCCCAAGAAACATTGTTCAGATTGCAGAGATAGTACACTGTGAGCAATATAAAGGTGGACGGTACAGTAAGGAAATAGAGCAGCCCATAAATAAGGCAGAAAAACTCTTGCGGGTGTAGGATTCCTGCTATGAAGAAAATTATTGTTAACCCGGTAAGGAAAACAACATTAGGACTACCAAAGTTCTCTGTTGCGATGCTGATAATTGTACCTACAGTCGCTATCATCATAACAATAGTATAAAAAGCACTAAAAACCGCAGCAGCTGTAATTTGTATACTGCTATTAAGTGTCATGCAAATAGCCAAATAAATTATGACTGGTGCAATGGAGAGAAGATAAGCTGGCCAGATGCCGATCTTTAGTACAGAGTGATAAGAGCCGGTGATCATAAGAATAATTGTTGAAGGGCCGAGAATGGAAGACGCCATTAAGACAAATTGATAGAGGACATATGGACGACTGATATTATCATTGATATTGACCGTGTCTCTCCAACTGGCTAAAAGATCCATCATATTAGCCAGAGTAGAAGGTGACCAACGACGGCGCTGGTTGAAAAATTCCTGGAATGTCTCTGGAGCAAACGTGAGAGCATCGGCGCCCGCACAATAATCGATCCGGTGCCCTTGTTGTAACAATAATGTACACAGCCAACGGTCCTCACCTAAGAAAAGAAACAAACCATTTCACTATGAAATTAAATACGTCGAACAGTTTTTCATTGTCTTTTCCAGAAATATTGTGGAAAGAGAAAACAAAGTTATCTAATTTTTCATCGTGATTTCTGTTGCTTTTCATCATAACTATTCAGAATATCAATAATGTTTGGCATTGATTCGTCCAATAAAAATTTAAAATAATGTACAAAACTAAGTACATTTGTTTTCAGTTAAAGAGCATCAGAAATTAAATGATATTTCTTAAAAGCATGTTTTTATACAGTGTTAGTTCGCATATATATTGGATATACTTTTATCTATACAGAAGGGAAGCGTGACAAACAGGAGAGCGAAAAAGAAATAAGGTAGAGAGATAAATACTTAGAAAGAGAAGAGGTAAGAGTTGGACTGATCATAGTCACGTGTAATCATGGTCTGGCTTGGCTTCACGAACGAAGAATTAATGAGAACATTCAGGTTTATTGCAGATCTACTGATGACCGTCGTGACCCACACAGGACAGATAAGTTTTATTTTTCAAAAAGGCGGAGGAAGAATGTATGGTGACCTGTGTCGGGGGCGTTGAGCTCCGGTTTTATATCTACTGTTGGCAACCTCTGTTACATGTTGGCGATAATCGATTCTGCAAGAGATGAAGAGGACCTTTAAAGACAGATATGCATATCTTGTGTCCTACTTTGCCAGCTTGATACCAGTTCGCCAAACAGGTGGATGTTGGAAAACAACAATTTTCCTCCATGGTCTGCTCAGAGCAAATTAGCCTATTGCTTGCGGTGTTGATAATTTCGATATTTTTGAGGGAGTTACTCTAGTGCACATTGAGAATGATGCATTCGAGGATATGTAGATGGCGCTGGTAAATGACCCAGGATTTGATCCCATAAATAAAGATAGACAACACACAAGCTACAAAAGACAAATAAAATTTTTTACGTTATACTGACGAGCAGAAAAATATCTTTTTGAATTCCATTAAGTGGTGGAAACATCATCAACGATTATTAATCAACATTTATAACATTGTTTAAAGACAATGTCATGCACTTTTTATCTATGTTCATAGTTCTAAAATTACATTTTTTGCTTTGTTTTTTCTTTCTAACCAATAAGTATGGAACACGTTTTTCGTACGCATTTTATAATCATTATAATATTCATTTTTTTTGTCAAAGTGAAGACTATTTTTTACTCAAAGAACAAAGAATTAGAAAAATTATTGTAATTTTTTTCTTAATGAGAAAGGTTAGTGTCAACCACACTTTTGAGACCTCTCATAACAGTTTTATATCTGATTATATAGTTTATGAACTTTATTAGAAGTTTTTGATATGTTGATCAAATATATTATGGAATCCTCCATATTTGCCTGTCATCCCTGAGGGAAAATGCACTTTTCTTCCAAACCAACTTTAACCAATCATTACTTCACTTTTCTAAACTTGACTTCCCATTGGTTAAAAGGACCCCCAAAAATGTAGCAAGTTGCGACAAATCTGTTTTCCCGCTCACCTATCTGGAGCCGGTTTGAAACCCAAAAAATCAATAAATAGGATCGTTTCACTTGATTCAGCCAGTCAGTAACTAAGTTGCGAGAGATGCCAACAAACACCACGCGCGCCAACACACTGACTCAACACTCACCATGCGCGCCGACATACTGACTCAGCAACCACCACTATCTCTCTCAGCAACTCAACACAACCCACACAGCTATTGCCGTGCGAAGATACTTAAATTACAATTGACTAAAAAAGTGACATTACCGCTATGACATAGTAATTGTACATTTAATCAACCTGAGCATACCAGTCAGTAACTAAGTCTTTGAGAGATGCCAACAAACACCACGCGCGCCAGCACACTGACTCAACAACCGCCACTCTCTCTCTCGCAGCAGCTCAACACAACCCAGAAAGACTTGCCACGCGAATTTACCCAACTTACAATTTACTAGAAAAAGTGACATTATCACTACCGAAGTAGTAATTGCATTTAGTCAACTTACCATATCAATCAAAGACACATAACTCCTTATGACTTTAAACAATATTTACAATTGTCGCACACACACACACACACACACACACACACACACTAATATCTGAACCCACACAAGTGACATTTCACTTTACAGAAAGCAAACTGTTTTAATTTCATAGACAAACCCTAACTACAAGCTTCCATACACCAAATCACTGCATGGTCACTCATTACAAATTTATCTCACTGTTCACATTGAACAAGGAATCTTAAAATTCACTTGTGTATATCAAACGTATATAAATGCATGTTATTTGTTGTTTCTCTTTGATTTCTTCCAATTGAATTGCCTTCAGATGTTTGTTTATTTTATTTGTTGTGGATGAATATTTAACGAACACGCACATTTTTAAGCCTTCACACAATTTTACATTCTGATACATCCAATTAGCTCAAATTCCGCAACAATATGATTTATCAGATTTTACTAGATTTTTTCAGCAGTATAAATATCTTTATAAGAAAGATATATAAAATAAATATAATAATTTAGGTTTGTCTTTTATGCTTGCTTTTAAGAGAAGTGTTTTAAAAACAAACGAAAGGCAAATGGTTAATAAAGAATAAATTAGATGTGAACATTTTAAAATTTTCTAAAAGTAGAATGGCTCGAAAAAGAATTTAAAAAAAATAATTCGGTATAAATGACATTTAATTAATAAAGTGTGGAATCACTGGGACTTTGTACTTGTCTCGTGTTCTTGATCAATGGCGAAGATGGTATTTATCAATTCACCCACAGGAATTGAATGTGGCACAAGGCCTTTTTAATGTGGGTATGTCCGAGCCCGTAGGCCCAGCCAAAAATAAAACCCATCTAAACCCGTCCAAGCGGGCTAGTTCCGTCAACCTCCCCGAACGAAACCCCACCCTTCGGCGGAGCTTCGTCCGGGTTCCCCTCTGCAAGCAGAGAGTTCGACAGACACCCGACCCGGCAGCCCACAAAGCGCAGATACTACACTTTGATCCTAGCCACCGGGCCGAGCGGGTATTCTTTTTATAGATCAATGGCGAAGATTGCGACACATCTCTCTTTTAGCCGTCTCTTTATAGTTTTTGACGATGATGATATCATGCCGGATATAATCAACACAAAACGCACCGGATTTTAACTTAGATTTAACTTAAAATTTTCTAGTATATCTATTTATGATCAAACAATATTTTTAATTCTTTTCCACCGACCTGCCAGTGAGCTGGATTGTAGCAAAAACCAAGTGCCCTTTGATCGAAACTGCTCAAAAGTACTTTAATCTTGGATTAATTAGTCAGAGTAAGAGATTAGGTATTTAATTTCATTTCCACGTCTAAAACCGATTTAGTCTGACCGTACCGAAGATCTCAGGAGTCCTTATCTCGGGATTAAGGCATTATGATATGATAAAACTACTGAAAAAGAGATGTGTGACAATCAGAGATTGTGTCGCCATTGATCTAGAACACAAGACAAGAAGAAATCCTCTTCAATTCTACTCATTCGTTCTCTTCCATAAGATGTCCTCGGTACCACTCCATCATCAAAGGAAAACCGAACAGTATATTTAACATTAGGAATAATTTAACGTCAGGAATAAATGACAGCAAGTCCTTTTAATGACATAAAATCAAGTTTAGTTTAAGACAACATTTATAGAGCATCTCTTGGTCCTATATGACGGAAGCTCTTCTCTCAACCTCCTGTAAGAGAGTTCTGGCAAACGAAAAGTGAAGCTACGCGCAAGCTGTCTAGGCTAAGGTTGAAAAGAAACAAATTGGATCTCGCGAATTCTGGAAGATCACCAGCCAAATTATGAACAAAGGCATTTGTTCAAACATGAAATAATTATAAATAAGCCCCGACAGACAAATAAATCTCTTCGCCTCGATCTTTTTGTCTAAAGCTCGACGTTAGATGACAAAAACCATCCTCTCTCCAACTTCCCACGTCTCACAATCTCAGAAATATCCATTTCAGCACGTAAAGTCTTTAAGCTTATCAAAAGCCTTGACCATAAGGAAACCACTGGCCCAGACAAAATTCCAGTGGTTATTCTTAAGAACATCAACCTGAAATTATCTCCAATCCTTGCGAAGTTATTTAACCGATGCTTGACATCCAATTCGAAAATGGTTGCCAATGGAAAATATTTCAAGCGTATGCTCTGTTTTCAAGAACATGAAATGGCGATCTTTGAAAATATATACAGACTCATCAAATCTCCTCATTACCAAATAAATATTTTTCTAAATACAAACAAGAAATTAGGTCGTCGAGCACCTAAATAGGAACAATTTCTTGTGCGACAGCTATTAAATTTTTTCTGAATTGGTTAATCCACCACTGACGTCCTAACTATCATTACACACAGAATTAGTGAGACTCTTGACAGATTCACCCCAGGATCATAGCATTAGATATTTCGAAGGCCTTTGACAAGGTGTGACACAAAGGTTTGTTACACAATCTCTCCAGCCATGGAATCACTGGAAGTTATAATATCCTTCCTAAAAGGTAGATCCCTGAAGGTAAACATCTATACCGATGATACGATGATATAGGTGTGCACCTCTAAAAGACAGATCAGGGATTGATAGCTGACCTCTCTTCTGTTCTAATTTATAATTTTCCAATAAAAAAAAAACCTTTGGTTTTATTCAATATTTCGTAAACCAAACATATTAAATTCTGTCACCGCCGATCGGGCCCAGAACTACTGCAATTTACGATGAATTTAATAAACCCTTCGAGGAGGTATATCTTGAGAGTCTATATACCTCAAAAAAATTTTGACCTATCTTTGGAATAAATACATACGATCCATCGCCAAAGATGCAATTAAAATGGTTGGCTCTGTGTAAAACCCAATAAAACCTGGCATGCAATCCACTACTTTGACAAGAGGCAGAATAAGCTGAAAATTGAGTACTGTTGTTATATTTGGACGGGAGCTACCCAGTCCTTATTTTCCAGCCTCGATATTATTCATAAGCGTCTCCAAGTCCTTGTGGGTGACGAATTATTTTCCACCCTAAATCAAGGAAAACATTTCGGGATGATAGCCTCAAAACGGACTCAATCTCTACTTCAAAAGGAAAGTGCTAGGAAATTACATTTTTGGTTAAATTTCAAACCATCCATATTCCCTCCGTATTCCATTGGTGAGAAGTAATTTCCACTCGAACCTGTTCACCTGTTCAAGTCTAGTGTTACCCGTCATCTTCTCCTCTTACCCGTATAAACTTAACCCTTAACGTAACCCTCTATCTTGAATGACCTGCGAGCCTTGTACAGGATGGACCTTAGTGTAAAAAAAGAAGGTTGAATTTATAATGGATTGCCAACCAATAATTAAGTTGAATAAAATATCCATTTCTGGTAATCATGAGAAATAATTTATCTTTACCTTGTTCGAACTGAATGTAATGACGAGCTTCCGTTGGTTTGGTGGTGTACATTTTCAGGACGTTATCGTCCATCAGAGCCGAACCTCGAAACAGACTAAAACATCCAGGACAACAAAGGACGCAACCAAACACATGTTCAGCAGCTTTTTGTAGCCAGTGGCCAACTGCATATTCGAACTGTTGGTACCAAACCATAGGCCCTGTTGAACAAGAACAGAAAAATGAGAAAGAAACATTATTTTAATCGTTTGTACATCAAATAACTTTCTCAGTCAGAATTTCATCACATAATGTCATTTTAACATTATTAAACTAATATTTCTTTTAAAGACGATAAGAATTCCACCCCCTGCAAAGAACCTCCGACCACTAGAACTTCGTTCTACTATCAACGAGCTGACTGGGACTCGTTCCGTGATTTCCTCCGCGATGTCCCCTGGGATGTTGTTTTTACGCTCCCTGTCCAAGAATATGCTTCTGAGGTCTCATCCTGGGTTAAAGCTGGAATCGACGCTTTCATCCCCTCAAGGAAATATAGGGTCAAATCGCGCTCCTCCCCTTGGTTCTCTGCTGATTGCTCAGCCGCCATTGCCCATAGGAACCACTTCTTTCACCTATTTCGTAGCGATATGTCGGACTGCAATAGACGGCTCTTTGCCTCCGCCCGTAATGAGTGTAAGCGTGTCCTCAACGATGCTAAGTCACTATTTGCTGCTCGGATGAAGGAATATATTGCATCTCGCAAATTTGGCTCCAAAGATTATTGGCGTCTCTGCAATCAGGCATATATGAACAATTATAAACCCTCTATACCTTCTTCGTTCAACCAGTTCGATAGTCCTGACCTCCTCAAACAAGGCTGAATGCTTTGCACGGAAATTTTCATTCAACTCAACGCTCGACTCTTCCGGTGTACCCATAATAAACTTCCCTCTTAGAACTGAGGTCCATTGATTTTTATTAAGTGGGTTTATTAGCAATTTAGACCCCCAGTCTTTCAAATAAATACATTGTCTTGAAATTATCTCCAATTTAGAGAAATTTTGCCTCAAGGAAGTCCTCTTCGATTGCCCTGTCTTCAAGAACTCTGGCGAACATCTGAAAAAGAAATTAATTAATCGATTCGGCAAAATCTTTGAATATTTATATATTTAATCAATATCGTTAACCTTAAATCCCATGATCTGCTTTCAGACAAGCAATATGGCTTCCGCTTTGCCCGATCTACAGCTGATGTGCATTTACGGCCATCACTGAAACTGTCTACCAAGCTCTTCAAAATATTTGGGGAAGCTCGTGCCGTGGCCCTAGACATCTCCAAAGCATTTGATAGGGTTTGGCATGCCGGCCTTCTTCTCAAGCTCCAGGATTATGGCATTACGGGTCGATTGTTTGACCTAATACAATAATTCCTGTCAAACCGTGAATTGAAGGTCATTCTCAACGGATTTTCCTCCAGTTCCTATCCTACTAACGCAGGTGTTTCAAGGCTCCATACTAGGTCCCAATCTATTCTTATCTTCATAAAATGACCTTCCTGACGCCATAAATTCCCAAGTTCGCATCTACGCGGATGACACCACAATTTACTCCTGTATCAAAAACAAATCTAGTGTCGCTGACAAAACTAACCTGGCCGTGCGTCTTTAAAAGGACCTCCAATCGGTTGTGGACTGAGACAGGGATTGGCTGGTCAACTTTAATACCTCAAAAACAAAGCTGCTCTCTTAATCACCACAGAGATCCTTCCTGCCCTCCATTAGAATGTCTGACGCTCAAAATTCTCGAGAGCATCTCTCTGTGGCTGCTCGGTCTCACGTTGACTGCTGAACTGAGATGGACAAATACATTGAGTCAATTGCTTCGTTCACCGCAAGGAAAGTTGGCTCCCTGTGCCGCGCCAGGACAATTTTCTCCCCGGAATCGATCCTTCAGATTTACAAATCAACAATTCGCCCTTGCATGGAGTATTGCTGCTATATATAGTCTGGAGCCACTTCTGTTTGCCTCGGGGTTCTTGATAAGCTCCAGAGGCGGATATGCAATATAATTGGCCCTGTTGTGGCATCTCGTCTACAGTCGCTCTCTCACAGACGCACTGTCGCCTCTCTGTCTTTTTTACAAATACTTTCATGGTAATTGCTCCAAGGAGCTGCATTCGCTGGTTCCCAGATTTCATGAGTTCAAGCGCCCTACGAGGTTGGCATCCCGCTCTCACCCTTTCACTGTCGAAACTCCAAAATGTAGCCGTCACTTCTACTCCAATAGCTTCATGTCTCGCACCTCTCGCCTGTGGGACTCCCATCCCTATTCCAGTTTCCCTGAGAGCTATAATCTCTAACTATTCAAATGTAATGTCAATCGACATCTCCAGTTTCCTTGATCTATCCACTATCCTTTTCCTCATCCTTTCCTCTATCACTCCTATCTGATCTTGCTCCAAATCCTCTGTAACCCTTTGCGTCCTAGTGGCTTCCCGCCTTGCTTGGAGTGAAACGCTTAAAAAAAAAAAGAATTGAAATTACCATAAATTTAATTCTTACGTATAGCTGTTTTTGTTAAAGTAGATTTAAATAAAACTCTTAGCAGAGGAAGTGGAACAAGTGTGATTTAATTCCTATCCAAATAAAGGGTGATTAAGATAGAATGATACTTGGGAGGCAAATGGGGACATACTGACCTCCTCCTATTGGATGGATGCGTCCGCAGACTGCACCGACTTTTCGATTCTTCTTCATTCTGTCAATCAGTAGTTTCACTGAATCTGGTTTGAAGTCAACATCTCCATCAAGAGTTAAAATGAATGTGTTCTCAGCCTGTTAAAAATGGATTGGCGTAAGCCATATAATTGTTTGAATTAATAAAAATGCAGAATTTGTATTGGCACATGATATCGCAATAACGAATGCTCATAAATTTTATTAATGGATTTCGCCTTTGTATGGTAAAATCTAAATTTAAAGTTGCTCATGTTTAATGTAGTATTATTAAAATTAGACCCTAAATAGTTATTGCCCTTATTTATATATCCACAATTCTTTTTTAAATTACTGTATTCCATATTGTGATAAATCTCAATATATTACAAATTTGGCGACAAGATAATAGAATATCGAACAAAATAATGGCAATTTATGGTTGTTTAACAACCTAGGTAAAGGTGTATTTAGATACAGTATAAAAATTTTATTTTATTATTTGTAAAAAATATTAAAGATCTATGTATAATCGTCGAGGTTGTTTTTTTTTATACACGATTTGTCCTGTTTGTGTAAACTGCCAAGAACAGAGGTTGGGTGCTATTTGAAAAATGTCTGCCTTATGCCATTTTGTTATTCCTTTCTCCAAGTTTCTCCCGTTTTCTCTATTTTTGAAGGGATTCATTTTTTTACATGAATCCGTTTTTTTTAAAACTAATTGTGACTTTTCTTTTGTTTATGAATCCGTTTCTTATCTAACAAATTGTATTACATTTTTCTTGTTTCTGTAGGTAATCTCTTTTTAGTTACCCCAGGAAAGTGTTATCCTGCCCAAAGAGGCACACAAAAGGAAATATTTGTGCTACCCTTGTTTTGTATTTTTCGAATTTATACACTGTAAATAAATGTGTGGTTTTCGTTAAGGTTTTACGCAGTGGTTGTCTTCTCTCTAAAATTGCGCCTATTTTCGAAAGTTCACGTTTCTACCAACTAAATTTTATATCTGGCATTAGAACTTGGAATTGGTTGGAAAGTAAAATTTTAATAACAGGGACCAAACCCTAGGCTAGAAGAAGGAACAATTTCCTTAGTCAATTTTTCAGAATGGGTTACACCCATTGTATCCATCGACCGGATAAAACTGTTCGGATTTGTAGAGATTACATGGTAACTATCAATTCTATGGCCAAACTGGATAATTACCCTAAACCTGTGCAACTTTAGGAGAGGGTAAATCTTAGATCAAATTAGATCTCAGTCAAGAGTTTCACAAGTTACTACTGGACGAGGAATCCCAGAAATTTACCACGATTTACACCCATAAAAGACTATTTGTGTATAATCGTTTTCAAAAGACAATGGAAAATATTTTTACGAGACATTCCAAAACTATTGCCAGGATTGATTGCATTCATTTGACAGAACCAACCAGGAAACTCACTTTATCAACTTCAAAGGAAATATTGAGTAAATTAGAAAAGTTTGACGTGCATTTCAAAAGTAAAAAAATGTTAGTTTTTGGTCTCTGAAGTGATTTACTTAGGTCATATCGTTAACAGAGAAGACATTAAAGCAGCAAAATGCAAAGTAGAAGTTATCAAAAAGGCCCTACACCATCACTAACATCAGAACATCTTTTCCTAACGTCTCAAATATTATAGTACATTTGCATCAGCTGCTTGGAAAGGAAGCGAAATTGAAGTGGACCTTATGAAAAGGAAGTAGCTTGAATTCTAACAAATTATTAGTTCATTTTGATTATAAAAGGAAGTTACTGCCGTTTGTGATGTTTCCTTCTCCGTATGAACTTCGCGTCACGGACTCTTGCAAACCACTTAATTGCTGTTGTTCTAAAGTCCATTATGACCCGACGTGGTAGCACCTGTTAGGGTCCCAGCTATGGGAAAATAGTGAACCCCCAAACAAAAACAAAACATTGTGAAAGTATAAAAAAATATATATACATAGTAAATTTACCACCAATATAATTTTATAGCAAAAATGACCAGCAATACATTTTAGCAAAATGATCAACAAGACATTTTATCTGTAGTTGAAGACACACAATTGCATTAAAAAATAAATAACCCATAGAGGTTAATATGTCGCTATCTAAAGCAACCAGCGACTCTTACAACTGGTGAAAAAACTATGCTCAAATTGACAAAGAGACGGCAGCTTTGGTTTATGGAGTTAAAACAATTCACTAATATTTATATAGTATTTCAAATTGTATACCAATCATAAGACACTCTTGGCATGTTTCAAAGAAAATAAAAGAATCCTTAACATCAGATCTACAAGGATTCGGAGAGAGGCTGTAAATATCAGTTTACACTTACACTTACACTT